CGTATTTAATCAGAAAAAAAAGTCAATGATAGAAAATAACCAGAAAAAAGTATATGACGTAAGACAGAATTTAATTGAACAATGACAGAAGATAAACTCAGAAATTTTTTGAAAAAAGTACAAAAATTTCTATGTCTAAATTCCGTCATTGAAATTTGGGGTCGAATGACGGAAATAATTGAAAAATGACAGGGAAAAAGTACCAAGTGAGTGAGTAACATGGCATCATTATATAACTACTCACAATGGAAGTCCTTCAGGGATTTTTAAAGAAATTTTATTAGCATTATTATGATTATAAATATTTCTTTCTAGAAGCTTAAATAAGGCGGCATGGAAATTGGAAAGTAATTATATACATCTGATAAAACAAGCGATTGAACTTCGAGAAACGTACCTATACGAATAATAAATAATTCAGAAAGAAATTCAAAGTCAAAATTTTTAATATGTAGTAGTGGTAATTACAGCTAACTATCCGTAGTCTGTACTGAAAGGTCTTTACAAGAAAAGGATCTTATGTACTTGAGGGTTTTATCTACATGGAGCAGAGAAGCGTAACAGTGTCCTCATAGAATGCAGTCATCCCGTTTAAGTATTGGCGCCTATTTTTGTATCTCCTCCAAATTATCTAAGTTTAATAATACATCATAACCTACTTAACTAACTTTAACTACTGGAACAGACAGAAAGATTTCTAAAGGCTAAATTTCGCGATTTGACCAAAAGAAAAAGGGAAAATTGATAATAAATTAAAAATTTAGCATTTCCAATTATAAAAAAATAGATGTTAATAAAGTGAAAAGATGAAAAAGCGAAGTCTAATTTCCAAAAAATCGAATAATCGCTATATTTATTGTTAATTTGCATAACGCTTAATTCTTTCTTGTAAGAAAGGCGCTTTTCAAGGGCGGCGCCCATTTATTCGTAGGGCTCTTTTAACGAACCAATTATGTTGGTGATTATAACGATGTTCACTCTGGATATACATCGAACGAATAATCTCTAAGAAATGGAAACTCCTTCATCTTTTGCGTAACTCGTCTCTTCTGTTCTTCAGTCCAAATAACTTTGTCTCTGGTCACTGAAGGTGCACCATACATAATATTACTGCATTTATCAAGATAATCATCCGAGCACGTGACCCGCAAATGTTCACACAACTTCTGTATGGTCTCTCTTGGTCTGAGCACTGTTTCGTGTCCTGGAATATCGATCACTGCTTTTCCGTAACGTTCCCGGACGCGCTGATTAGCAGTCGCTAATTTAAAGTAAGAGTTTATAGACAGATTGAGTCCTCTTGTGTTATTTAACTGCGAAGGAAGAATGAAAAAAAAAAAATAGTATTAGTAGTCTTATGTAGCATTTGAAATCCATATGAGGGTAGTGCTATTTGCTAATTTGTGAATGGAAAGGTTGTTATAATGGGAAGCGTTCAACTACCCATCTTTACACATAGTGCCTTTTTGGAAGTTTTTTGGCGCAATGTATATTGGTAGAGCTTTTTTTCATATTATCGTCGAGATCAGCTAAATTCATTAATTTTGCCTTAATTTTTTCCTGGCTCTCGGGAAGATCAGAACGATTCTGAAGGTTGTATATTTACACGGAAATTTGACCATATTTTGATCAACCCGGAGAGCACAAGAGGTCCAAAATGATCGTTTAGTTCGCCTATACACACTCTGTGAGAAACACCTCTCAATGAAGTGGACATCCAATTTATCGAGTGCGGGTATTCTGATGCGCTTCCCCCTTCCCTCCCCCCACAATGTTGTAAGTCATTCCTTGGAGAATCTCTATTGTCAGAAACAAGGAAAGACCGTGGTAGGTCGTTGTGTTGCAATGTGGCGAACAATATGGCAAACCCTACACCTAATTATAGTCTCCTAACTACCCGCTGCAGCTCTGTCCCAATCTTATCAGAAAACTTTGCTTGTGGAATCCGGAATCCTGGGCTTTGGAATCTGGAAAACAGCTCAAGGAATCCGGAATCCCGCTAGCGATTGGAATCCAAAATCCAAGTTCCACTGACAAAGACTGGAATCCAGTGCCTGGAATCCGGATATCCACGACGGTGGAATCCAGAATACAAGACAATCTTGTATTCCCTTACATGGGACGAATATTACCTTAATTCCCTCTTCTCTCACATTATTACGCTGGCTCGCCAAGCGGAGTGTCATTGTTGCTATGTTATCAAATGGGTTCCTTGTTACGTGGATGAATTTCATTGGTAAATTAACAACTTCAGCGATTTCCTCGAGAGTCTCCATCGAGTCGTTATTGGCAAAGATCTCTGAAGTTTTTCCTCCTTTCTTGTCACCTATAACCTTAAAAAACCCAGTTTTTGATAACGGAAACAGTTTTTAAGTCTGGCAACAAGAAAATTAAACATTGTAGAATTTCCACACACATTTTCCTCCAAAGGCATTAAAACTGGAAAAAGTCAAGTTTCAATCCATCTTCGTCCTTGTTATCCTTTGCAACAGACGACAAGAAACAACTTCAGTGCTTAAATCTAGCCTTTTATGGGTGATCTTATAGAAGGTGTACTTAGAGGCAAAGGGCAGTGGTATGAGAGAATCTGATCTAGCTAGAGCTTTCATACCTTGATTCTTTGCTGATATCGTCCTTGCCATAACCCGGGCACGTGATATGTGTACGTATATTCACCAGTCAGTCGAGTATTGTTTTTACTTGCCCGAATTCCAAAGTTTGCTTGACTCATAGAAAGGCTGTGCAGCTCGTGAAAGAGTGAATATTTATTCGGCGCTGCAGTCTTTGACAATGATTTCCATTTACCCACAAGGTTATACTCGTGAGGAATGATGATTTCAGGATGAGCATCCAATATGGCGCCAACTAAACTGTGACTACTACGAGGATAACCAATGAACAGAACAAACGTCTCCACACCATCATAGAGTTGATACGTATTTTCTGTAGGGGACAACGTTGCTATTTTCTCTGAAAGAAACAAAAAGGAGGAACCGCTTGGACGCTGTTATAACATCTGTCGCATGGGAGTTCTTGAAGGGCGCAAGGGAAGAAAAAGAGTAGGGCATTTGAGTGATGGGTGGGGGGGGGGGGGGGGGAACCCCCCCTCCAACAAATCCCCCTTCCCCCATCCCGGTAAAAGGGGAAAAAACGCACCCCCCCCCCCAACCCTCCCCCCCCCCCCCCCCCCCCTGCTTCCCTCCTGGTTTTTTTTTTTTTGAAGAGCAAAAGGTAGGGGGGGTCCACAAAGTAATAAGAAATGTTTGGTATCAGAACAAACGTCTCCACACCATCATAGAGTTGATACGTATTTTCTGTAGGGGACAACGTTGCTATTTTCTCTGAAAGAAACAAAAAGGAGGAATCGCTTGGACGCTGTTATAACATCTGTCGCATGGGAGTTCTTGAAGGGCGCAAGGGAAGAAAAAGAGTAGGGCATTTGGGTGATGGGTGGGGAGGGGGGGGGGGAACCTCCCATGTACCAATTCCCCTTACTCCCATCCTGGTAAAAGGGGAATAGACTCACCACTCCCACAACCCTTCCCTCCCCCGCCTTCCCCCGGCTTGTCCACTGGGTTATTATTTTTTGGAAAGGATAAAGTCTTGTGAGTTCCACAAGATGATACAAATGTTATGGTATACAACACCACTCGAAATCCATTCAGAATGGCTGCCTTCCAGGCCGCCATTTAGGATTTTACCGAAATCACTATAAATTGATTCAAAATGATCAGAGTCACTGCAAATTTCTTACTTGAGCTCTTGGCTTATTTTGCTAATCATGCAACTACCATTTTACCCCCAAAATGGCCAAAAATGTGACTTCTGGAATAATTAAACAGGTTCTGGGCAGAGAATCTTCTTCCCTCAAAGTCGTCACAACAAATGTTGACCAATGCAATGTTGGGGGGCGGGAGGAGGGGTGGGGGTTCCAGTATTGTCCGTTTTAAACCCTCTTCTTCTTTGTAGGTACAATGGTAACAAGAATACAAAAACTTGGTGTTTTTCACCCGTACGTTACTAAAGAAAGTTCTTTATGAATGAGACTTAACTCTGCCGAAAAAAAAAAATATATATATATATATTTATCGTAAACCTGGTAAATAGACCAGACTATGAATTGATAAAACCCTTCAAAGCGTTGACAGTTGCCTGTCTCCTGCACGGCCGGTCCTTACCTTTTTGGTGTGCCTTTAAGGTGTCGGAAATGTCCACGACGTACGCTTTCAGCATGAAATCTTTCTCAGTTTTGATTGCGAAGCGTTGAAGAGCCAAAACAGAGATTGTAACCAAACCAACTAGTAGAGCCGAAATATGTTTTAATCTCGGAAGCATTATATGCGATGTTGACACCTAAAAAACAACGAAGCAAGCAAAACCGAGATTGTAACCAAACCAACTAGCAGAGCTTAAACATTCCTTAATCTCAGAAGCATTATATGTATTGTTCAAACCTAAAAACCAAGCAAACAAACAGAACTGTAATACTTGCGTTTAAGGTCGGAAGCTTATGCGGCAGGTTCAAGTCTGCTAGGTGCCGTTCATTTGCCCGGAGACGGCAGGCTCTTAAATTTCTAACAACCTTTTGATGAAGTTTTATGCGAAAATTTACACAAATTAGAAGACAGTCAACGTTGAGAAAAGAAAAAACTGAACAAAAATCAAACAAACAAAAAAAAAACAAACAATTTTTTTTGACAACAACAAAACGAAAACTAAGGAGTTTGTAAGTCTACTAATTTAATCGGTTAATACAATATAGCGATTTATTGTGATGTATGCAACTTAAACTTGAAGAAAAAAAATAACAAACAAAAGAAAATAACAACACATGAAAATAAGGATTGTACGGGATTTGATTTTGTTAACTAAAGTACCTGTACAAATTTGACCGTTTGTATTCTTCAGCTCTTCTTATTCATTCAGTTTGCGGATAATTGCATGTATTGTATTTCGTTGCATAGGGACTTCTATTCCACGGCAACAATTTGCCATACAATTTCGACACTCTAATTAACTGGACAGTGCATTTGTAGATTGAGCAGAATTTCATATAAGCCATATACTTTTCGTACTCTGGTGTATGTGATAGTGGGTATAGACCACAGGGTAAATAAGTTTTTAGAGAAATATACTAATCATCCAAGACCTTAATAGTCCCTGATAAGTTAAATAAAATAATTTCACTTCAGGGCTAAATACCACTTGCTCTGTGATACACGCGAGATATTTTGCGGTAAATAAATGCCGTTTTGTTGTAAAATACAAATTAAAGTCACAGAATAAACGACGACAACATAAATATCAGTCAAGGATATGAGTTAGAATGGTATGCTAAAGCCAACAAAATATTACTTATAGGACAAATCAATTTGGTCTACCGAAAATACGACAGTTTATTAAACGGTGTCGGAAAAAAAATTATAGAAATTGATAATTCATCATAGGCCTCACAGAAGCTAATATTTTTTCTTACTGGGGTACTTACTTGCTAATAATAACGAGGTCCTTCTCTCAGAAACTTTCAGGACTTGACCTCCTCTAGTCTACATGTTAACGGAATACCTCGGAAATGCATTTATTCTTGATAACAACGTTTTCGTTTGAATATTGTGTCATTGCTTAGAGACGACGATTTTAAAGAAAACACGTTTAGGTAAACAAGTACAAATATCACCGCTTATTTTGAATAAACATTCAAACGACTTTTAAGCGACGTGAATAAACAATTCTGACTGACTGGTCATGAGTGACTTTACTTTGAGGCCCTGCACTTTGTGATAGTTTATGAACGCGGGAAGGGGGGAAGCAATGGTGCAAGTACTAGGCTTCGGGGCATGGCGTAGTGAAACAAACGAAATCAGCTTTTATTCATCCTGAACTTCAATGTGATTCTTTTGTTTTCTGCCTGAAGCCTTTGACCAAAAAATGAATTTTAATATTTGGAAATTGGTTTTTTTAAAAAAATACAGTCGTTATTCAGATAATTTAAATTTTTATTTCCCCTTTTTGCGTCGCATCTAACATTATAAATTATTTGTTCTTTCATTGCTTTTATTTTCTGAAAAAGAAAAACAGAAAAGAAAGACAAATAAACAACGAACCTTACACTAGCGGAGCGACAAAAAAAATGTAAACTTTGTTGGATAGTTGCTCTTAACTTCGCTCTAAGTGTTATATTTTTAAAGGGAAATCCAGCTGGCAAACGTTTTCTAAAGATGAGATTTCAGTTCTGATTGTTCCAATAGAGCTACTCCAGAAAGCATCATGAAAGCATCCCTTTTTTGGGGGGGGGAGGGGGCTGGACTCAAGAGACACTCAAGGGGGGGAGGGGGACTCAAGAGAGGTCTTAAAAGACCCAGTTCTGCGGCACAAATCCATTTAGGCCAATAATGGAAGTGCCCCCTCCAACCTGAAATTATACGATGTAATCAGTTATCTCTATGAAACATTATTAGTCTTTTCAATCGTGTACACATTAATCAGACATTTAAAAAAAACACACAACGTATTTTAAACTTATTGTTTATTTATAATCAGTGAACTGGGATGTTTAAGACGTACATAAATCGCTAATAGTATCAGAGAACGTTGAAACATCCTCACTCGTCGATTCGTGCAATTGAACGCGTTGAAAAATGTTCAACTTCAAACCGTGAGTGCTCTGTATGGAATTGTGGAAGCTATACGGAGATAAATCCCTGAATATTATCTTATATAGAATAACGTATGGTCATCCTGCCTACCGATTTCTTGGAAACGAAACGACTGCTGCACTGCTTAATCAACGCCAATTCAAATTTGCTCTCGGTAGTCTAGAGTTCAAATCCTGGGGCACGCTTGTAAAATAGCCAACTGGTTCGCCTCCTATCAACTGGAATTGTTAACTTTGTTATTTTCAGTTTGAGGTATTTGTTTCATTTCCCTGAAAAGCCCCATAGGGGGATACGATAATCGTGTATTACTGTCCGTATATAGGCACTCAAGGCGTGCAGACAACTACAGTGAAACCTCTATTAAGCGGACCCCCAATTAAGCGGACACCCTCGATTAAGAGGACACTAAGCCGGGTCCCGAAATTAATGTCTTATATATTTCTCTTTATAACGAACCCCTATTCACCGGACACCTCTATTAAGCGGACGCGGACACTGAATTTACAAAAGTAGTATTAGATAACGTCCTTGAAATACGTACTGTACTCGATAAATAAAGATAAATCAATACATTTAGCTGTCAATAAACTGTAGATTAGACCGAAAGTCTTGCACAAAGACTAGTAAAGCTTCCTTAGCTTTCCTAATAACATGGATCTTTATCATAGTACAGAGTAACCGTTGAAACTTAATCGCCAAAAAACATTGCGCCATTTTTGCAAACCTCGATTAAGCGGACACTTGGGAAGGTCCCGAAAGTGTCCGCTTGATAGAGGTTTCGCTGCAGGACATTTCTAACAATCGCCCATCTGTACGTGGAGGCTAAAATTATCTGTCTTTCAGGTTAAATGCGATGATGTACTTTTCTCGTTCTTCTTTCGTGAACCGTCGAGTTTCAGATTTGTTTTGTCGATAATGCTCCTCCATGGCATTCAGTAATGTTATCATCGTAGTCATCATCGTCGGTGGACGGTGGTTCAAGAACGTTGTAATCCGGAGGTGGATTCTGTTCCTTCGGCACATTGCTGTACGTCCCTGAAAAATCATAGAGAAATGATAGCGTCCTTAAGCGTCGTTTCTTTTAAAGTCATTTTACACTGACATCATGGGATTTCATTTAAGGCTTATTTAACAGGTTATTGTTGTCCTGTACTTTTGTATTGTCATAATTATATTAGGTTTTATTAGTGCATGCAGCACTTCCTCTCTGTTGATTCTGTAAATCATATGATCACAGGCGTTAAGTGTTACAATTATATTTTGCTTGTTTTATTTTGGAGAATATCAACACAGGAATGAAACCTCAACTTCAATTCCCTTTACCATAATTATTATATTTTGCTTGTTTTATTTCTGGGAAGTAATTGAACATGTAGATTGCATTCTCGATTCCCTTTAAGAGTATCAAACGTGTCAGGTACTTGCTTATACTCTAAAATACTCACTGTCTGTCTCGTGTGAGTCCTTTGCCAGCGGATGGTAAGCGATGGTCCTTACTAAAATTGGTTCTTCATAGATTCCTTCCTGGAAACGGCAAAAAGGAGTCTGTAAGCGTAGGAAACCTTTTTTTCATTCTTGTAATTTTTAAGAGACGAAGGGGACAGGCAAGGTGTTTAATCGATGAAACGACCAGCACCCATCCCTAGTTGGACAACCTCGCCACTTTGACTAATTTGTTGAGAGGAGGGAACTCAGTAAAGATCTTGAAACTGACTCGTTAACTACGGCCTTACAATTGCAATGTGACTCTTCTAGTCTCACCCGCCTGCTCCCAGGAGTGCACCACTAAGGAATGGCGTAACTGACTGGTGATGCAAACAAATTTTAATACAGAATACCAGTTTTACTACAAAGCCGCGGGTCATCTTAGGGGAAGTGGGGTTGGGGGGGGGGGTTCTTTTGTTTTCTGCCTGAAGCCTTTGACCAAAAAATGAATTTTAATATTTGGAAATTGGTTTTTTTAAAAAAATACAGTCGTTATTCAGATAATTTAAATTTTTATTTCCCCTTTTTGCGTCGCATCTAACATTATAAATTATTTGTTCTTTCATTGCTTTTATTTTCTGAAAAAGAAAAACAGAAAAGAAAGACAAATAAACAACGAACCTTACACTAGCGGAGCGACAAAAAAAATGTAAACTTTGTTGGATAGTTGCTCTTAACTTCGCTCTAAGTGTTATATTTTTAAAGGGAAATCCAGCTGGCAAACGTTTTCTAAAGATGAGATTTCAGTTCTGATTGTTCCAATAGAGCTACTCCAGAAAGCATCATGAAAGCATCCCTTTTTTGGGGGGGGGAGGGGGCTGGACTCAAGAGACACTCAAGGGGGGGAGGGGGACTCAAGAGAGGTCTTAAAAGACCCAGTTCTGCGGCACAAATCCATTTAGGCCAATAATGGAAGTGCCCCCTCCAACCTGAAATTATACGATGTAATCAGTTATCTCTATGAAACATTATTAGTCTTTTCAATCGTGTACACATTAATCAGACATTTAAAAAAAACACACAACGTATTTTAAACTTATTGTTTATTTATAATCAGTGAACTGGGATGTTTAAGACGTACATAAATCGCTAATAGTATCAGAGAACGTTGAAACATCCTCACTCGTCGATTCGTGCAATTGAACGCGTTGAAAAATGTTCAACTTCAAACCGTGAGTGCTCTGTATGGAATTGTGGAAGCTATACGGAGATAAATCCCTGAATATTATCTTATATAGAATAACGTATGGTCATCCTGCCTACCGATTTCTTGGAAACGAAACGACTGCTGCACTGCTTAATCAACGCCAATTCAAATTTGCTCTCGGTAGTCTAGAGTTCAAATCCTGGGGCACGCTTGTAAAATAGCCAACTGGTTCGCCTCCTATCAACTGGAATTGTTAACTTTGTTATTTTCAGTTTGAGGTATTTGTTTCATTTCCCTGAAAAGCCCCATAGGGGGATACGATAATCGTGTATTACTGTCCGTATATAGGCACTCAAGGCGTGCAGACAACTACAGTGAAACCTCTATTAAGCGGACCCCCAATTAAGCGGACACCCTCGATTAAGAGGACACTAAGCCGGGTCCCGAAATTTCAGTACCATTTATGTTTTCTGTACTGATTGACAGGACGCAATCCGAACTGTAAAACTCGTTGTCTGTGCGACAAAACAAAGAAAAGAAATCATTACAGCGGTCTTGAACGGTTCAATTTTACAGCCAGCAATAAAATGTAAATTATGATGTTTTTTTTTTAAGTGAGCAAGGAAAATGCAAGGTTTTCAACTGCCGGAATTTACGTCAGCAAGTCTGCGTTTTCATCCTAAATGCATACGCGGTATCCAGAAATACCATGTCTCTAATATGAAGTGTTTGACACTTACGAAAGGATTCTGTGTTTACTCCTGATCGAGGAGGAGGACGAGAAGGCTCCTGTGAAAATAAATGAAACAATAAATGTATCAATACAAATATAAAATATACGAAGATATATATATATATATAAAATGACTAGATAAGTAAAAGAAGCAGAAACTATTATTAAGAAATTTTTGATGTACTCAGTGGCTTGAATAATAAAGTGATTATATAAATGCACATCAATAATTTCTTACCTCATAGGTCACATCTGTAAAAAACGAAAAAAGTAGAGATTATAAGATTTGGGTAAGCAGATTTTGTTATTTGTATTAAGTATTGAAGTTTCAGAGAATCGTATTAACTCATCAAATTTTCAGTAGTTCTTACTTGGTGCATTTCTTCTTTGATCTTTCTCCCTAAAAATTAACCGAAAAGGTAAATAAACGAAATAGAATAGAATTAAACGGTCTGTTCCTTTAAGCCCCGTGAAAACGGACCGTCAGCATTGTTGGTAAACAACTCCCAGTTTTGTTGGATATTACATGTTACGCCCGTTTGCACACCCTGTTGTATGATGTTGCTTTTTTGGGGGAGTTATTGCTGAAAGTTTGAAACCGTTCAAAGTTTTGAGCCAACATTTCTTTTGTTCCGTGATCGCCGAAGCGTAGCGCTACAATGTTGGATCCGTTTGCACAGCTCTTCCAAAATTGATTGGACCACGCATGCGCATTGCACATGGTTTACAAAGTCTAATGGGTTGTATCCTTCCCACCATGCACTGCAGGTCCCAACAGTGTTGGGAATTATTGCAACCGTTTGCACACCACTGCCAACACAGACGAAAAATGTTGGGAGTTGTTGCGTCCGTTTGCACGTAGCTTTATTGCAGATCTTAAAACTATTCTTCCTGTGGCCAGATTGGGGAATAAAGAATCCTAGGCTTTGGAATCAGAAATTCAGCTCAAGGAATCTGGAATCCAGCTTAAGATTAGAGTCCGGAATCCAAGTTCCACCGACGAGGAATCCGCAATCAAGAATTCAAAACGTGGGATCTGTAGAATCCAAGACTGTCTTGGATTACCTTTTTTTTGTTAGAAGGGGCGAATTATTGAGCGATTATTCTTTAACTGTGATGCCCACTAAACAAAATAAAGGTAATGCAAATTCACTCAGATATGATTGGCGTAAATCATGTTATATTATAATGACTATGACTTACGTTCCCTGGTTACGTCTTTTCTTCACCATAAGCAGTAAAGTAACAAACACCAGTACAATTCCGAAAGCTAGTGACACTGTCACTCCAGCGACGACGGCTCCAGTTTGCCTTGCCTCCACCTTTTGTTTGGTGTTTGCTGCTGGCTCCAGAACACCGTTGTCTCCCTTAAACAAAACATAAGTCTTAATCCTAAGACCTTTCATTTCAGACAGGCATTCTCATTGTGAGAAAAATATGTCTAATTACTATGGGAAATTAGAAAACTAAACGACGCAGAGTTTTAAATGGTTGCGTCTTGGCTTATTTTTTTTCATTGTGAGGTGACAATTCACATTAAGGTTTATCATGTGGGTAGCTTTGAATGGGTCTTCTTTAGTGACCATGGCTTCAATTACTCAAAAAAGGTAGAATATTTGCTTAGAATCAAATGTATTTGCCTAAAATTTTATCGATTGATTCAAGTTTGGCAGTTATGTCTATTGGAACAGCGTACATAGGAAAGCCATTTTTGTAAGGGAGTAAGGTTTAATTTCTGGATAAAGTTCTAACATCGCACTTTCCTCAGTTACTATTTTAATTCAAACCTTTCCATCCGAGTTGCCACTCGGTAGTGTGGGACTTGTTTCTCCTCCTGTAACACCAATTCCCCCATCATTGGATCCCAGTGGAACCAAAGAGCTTGACAACACTGATGGAAAGATCATGTGAAGATTAGGGCAAGTTACTTTGCTCATTGTACTGATAATTTTAAGCATTGATAGTCAAGATATTTGGTTACCCTGATAGGATTGTCGAAATTTATATGGTGGGTAAAGTGTCTAGAAGGGCCTGAAACCTATCCTTATTTCATCATCATCATCATCATCATCATCATCATCATCCGTCATCAAATTAAACTTCGACTGCCGTTGAGATGGACGGGAGAATGTCCAAGCGCTGGATATTTTCTCCATTGTTCTTCTAAAAGTGTATCTGTGCCTGTTATTTCTCGAGATTGTGTTGGGGTTGGCAGAGGAGTCTTCTTGCTCTTATTTCGCCATAGTCTCTTGGGAACGAAGGATGTTCTTAGGCATTGAAACAGTGGCCTGTATTAAACTCCCGTTTGTCCCAGTGTCGAGGCGATAGATGGATATACAGACTGAACTTCTCCATAAGTCTATGCTCCGCCTGGTAAGATGGTTCTTTTTAGCTGGCTCGGTTTTGAAGAACTTTCCAGCCCCCAAATCGTAGCTAGTCCATGTTTCTGTTAGAGAGAGTTGATTGTTCCCCTAAAACAGCCATGAAAGAAGCGAGGGATATGTGAAGGCCGTAATGAACTTTTTCTTGCCAGAAAATCCTTCACGTTGTTCACAACAGATGTCCCAGAATACCTGAAATCGTCTACCACTTCAATGTGAAAGCCGATTCTCAAGAGGATAGGTTGTTGCTTCACTTCATCCTTCAAATTTTTTTTTTTTGTCTTCCTTTAAGCATTAGAAAGCTGACCAACATAATTTGATGACTTCTTTAGTGACGAGCCCGACAGCTCTATCCTGCATATCTTACTGCCAGTGTTCTGCCAGCGGTGAGATTCTTGGTGGTGATGCTGTCAACCGATGTCTCGGAATACATTATCCACGTGTTTGTGAACAGGTGTCCATACTAGGGGGAAGAATTTTTCAGCAACTGGTAGAGTGTACAGACATAGCCAGCCTTAGGTAGTGGATTAAGAGCTGCTAAAGAACTGCTAGCTTATTGCCATTGAATATTTTACTCCAGAATTCTGGCCTTAATAAGTTGCTGTTGGCCGTTTTGTAATAGAAAGTTTACTTCTGGCAACATGTGGTAAGGGGATCAGAGATCTAGCACCATCAGAGTTGATGCAACTTGATACGTTGACACAAGTTAAAATACAGAATGAAGCAAACCATTAAGATTGGTGGAACTCATTATCTAAATATTATTCATATAATACCTTCGTTAGTTGTCGTATAGTTTCCTTTTGACTTCATCAATACGCAGCCAGTAGTGCGTTTATTTTGACACGTGAAGACGAACTTTAAAACCAGTCCAGTATACTTTGGGTCGAGACCTTTATCCCACTACAGATGATAAGAAGAGAAAAAATATAACAGGGAAAAATGAGAGCATCTTCTCTGTGGCTTTATAAGATTCTTTTTTGCTTCTCTTACTCAAAAAGTGATTAGATTTATAAGCCGAAAAAGTCGTCTTAGGTCATCAAGTCCTTTAAAAATATCATTTAATAGTGTCTACTACGATCTATTACCTGTCTATTACCCTTTGCCGGAATTTCAACTAAAACGTTTACATACGTAGCTGCTAGTTTTGTCCTGAATAGGTATGTAAATGGCATTAGCGATATTGTTAAGATAGGGTGTTTACCAGTAAGACAGCGAAGAGGTTTCCACGTTCTCAAACTCCTTCACCGGGCTTTGTACTCCCCCAGCTTGCCGTCTTACGTACCACTAGATACAGTTAAACATCTGCGATCTTTGCGGTCAGGAGCAGCTACAAGATTAATTATACCAACGGAGAGGGGCACCTTTTAAGAGTCTGCTGCCAAGTTATCCTTCCAGCAAATATTCGAAACTGTAGCGATTTCAAAGTATACTGTAGGGATGTTAATGCGTATCTACTAAATAACGTTTGTAAATAGTTTGTAAATTGCATATAGGGTTGTATTACTATTACTAATCTCTATTACATTTTTATTTTTTGTACAATATCCTTTTATAGTCCGATATTATTGCTTTTTATATTGTAGATTTCAATTTTTTTTTGTAGTATATTATAGTTTTTCATTTTTTATATTGTAGTTTGTAACAGGTCAAGAGCCACTAGGTGTATACACTGTTAATAAACCATTATTAAATATTATTATTATTATTATTATTATTATTATTATTAATTGAAAGGTGATGGTGGTGGAAGAGGGCACGGAATAAGGCTTAAGTGTGCCCTAATCAAATGTCAAATTCTCTTTTTGCTTATCACGCATAAACCAAAAAAGGAAGGGTAATCTCGTAATTTATCCAAGTCACCTATGGTCCATGTCAGGCACCCCTTTCATAGGCTTTTTGAAGCTAGTCCTAGGAACGTGGCTCAAAACCACCACCCTGGACAGCAAAAGGCGCACTGGGACAAGACAAACAAAGTTAGCCACCATTTTTAATGATGTGAGATCTTTGTTTTGCTTTGCTTTGTTTTGTTCACCGTCACATGACACCTCCATCAACTGAGGTTACTTTTAGGCAGATTGTAATTCTTGACAATGAGTGTTTAAAATATACAGAAAACGAATTTAAGTTAACACAGTTTGAAAAGTTCTTTATCAAGTATTTTCGTGTACCTGCAAATTCAAGCTGCCTCTGCCAGTGAGAACGGCTCTTATACTGAATATATTCCGTGGTCCCGCGATCCACTCAGTAGAAGACAATCGATAGTACCATCCGCTGTTTTGCACTATACCATTGCACCCTGGATCAGTAAACTGAAGCTTTCCTGGTTTTGTTACTTCCTTGACGGGCAAGGGGTAATCTTCGTTAAGTGTATTTTCTAACTGACATCCTATTCAAATAAATAGGTAGGTAAATAAATAAATAAATAAATAATAAACGCAGAAAATCATGGTTAAAGCATATTCATTGGCCAAATTGTACAAAGGGTGATTTACATTGAAATTGGCTTCATGAAATGAGTTAATAGAATTAACTTGTCAGCACTAAAACAATAAACGCCAGTATTCCACCCTGTACCTCTATTGCATGGGGGTTAAGCTATGGGTGATCTGGTACATGTTTATAATTCGGATATATGTAGACAATGAGCCTAAATCAAAGCATTCGTAGGGTGTAGTCCTTTCAAACATCGCTTAGTTGCATTGAGTTCCATTTTGACACACATACATGTATCGACTCTCTTGATGTGTTTCTTAACGGCAAAAAAAATACGAGAAATGTTCCTGTTTATCCAAATTCATCTCATAACCCAAAGTGGTGCTTTTTATTGCGCGATACTAATTATTTTACCAGCGTAAAACGATATTATTGATTTCAAAAATAAACAGATCCACACATCTCGATAACAGTCGAAACTTCAAGTAACACTTTAAATGTGACCTGAGCTCTACCATCTTATGTTATTCTTTCCTTCCTGGGTATTCAAGACGCTTGTCATAGATTAATACAAACAATGCTGTTAACTATATCGCCGACAGTATTTCTCCAAAGGATCAGTGATGGTTAACTTAGGACAGATGGGTTGGAGAATTACGTTTCTGCGAGAACATTTTGTTCTTTCAGTGGTGGTGAAACTGTTTTCTTTAAATGGTCACAACGATTTATGATTTTTGAGACTCGCAGATTCAAACTTTATTGAAAACCATGCAACTTGCACCGAGTCAGTGCCTCACAAGAAGGCAGCAGTATTTCGGTAGAATAAATTTGGATGGTCACACTAATTAAGATTCTTATAACCCACAGATTAAAGCTACAATCATCTGGTACTTAAAGGGTTTTATAATATTAAACTTGCCATATTCAGCCTTAAAAATACTTAAAACATTCAGCTTACCTGTATCTACCTCGTCGTTAGTCCTACATACTCCTTCAGACATGACATAGTTTGGTGTGGCGTAATTACACTGGCAAAAGCAACAGTCCGTTGTCCAACAAGTAGCAGAACGAAGGCTTCCACATAAAGCTGGGACACAATCCGTGTTAGAAAACTTGTCAACGTCTCCTTGTCCTAATGCATTGGTAGAGCGAATTACGGTAAAACTGTTCACACCGCTGATAAGTACCGAAACTACGATGATCCAGTTGTAGGCTGGCATTCCTATGAATTTGCTTCACGGATCCCCTCTTAACTGTTAACGTTGTCCAAGAAGAGTGTTCGAATAAGCCGTTCCTTGAAAGTCGATGTTTCAGAGAATATTGTGTTTACATAGAACTTAGCTTTTCTGTGTGGTTCTAGATGCGGTTTGCAAGCGCATAGTAATTTTCTTCACGTCGATTGACTCGAGCTCCCGAAGAAGATCATTGAAGTTCAGTTCAGATATTCAAAAAGCACCAGAGTGCGCCATCTGCTTTAAGATGAAAACAACTCAAAAAAGCTTCATTCATGATGGGAATTCATCCTTTTCTTGTTCCTCAGTCAATATCGGTATCCATGCATCTACTTGTTCAAAGGTTGTTTTTAAAGTTGCATGGATACTAAAGCAAAATTTCATAGCAATATTATGGCAATATTGATGAACAATCTTTTTAAAGAAAGCGATTTTGGCGCCTAGCCATTCTAGGCACGTTATCAATACGTATGTGTCGTTGTGATCAAGGGAGACGAAAAAAAAAAAAACTTTTCTGAAATGAAATAAATACAGTTTCAAAATGCTTTTTAGCTTCTCTTCTATTCGACGCAAACAAATGATTCGAAAATTTCCATATTTTTTATCGCCATATTGAGCCTGTCGTCACTTGAGAGAACAGCTGATAAAATCATGTCAAACGCTGATCACGAAATTTAGTTTGAGAGAATATGAAAATAATAATTATGCTTTATGAATGCCGTTGATAATTAAGCTTTTACAATGACGTGTTTTACATCGATTTTCTCTACCAAGTCGTTATCATTTTTTCAGTTTTCCTCTTGCGAATTTTTGCCATTCTTACCCTAAGAGGCAAACACTTTTACTTATAGTGAAAACCTGGAACTGCGATCTCGATAAATATTAGTTCATAAAAATGGCCCTGAGTCAACACAACGTTATCAACATAAAAGGAGATTTAAGGTTTAGATAGAGTTTGTTAACTTTATTGTAAAGCCAACTTTCTAATTTTAAAACACTCCAATAATCGTTAAGTTAGTCAGATGGGAGCATGATCTTC